CCCCCCCCCCCCCCCCCCCAGGGCTTCCTGCCATACTTGGCGGCGGGGGCGGATTCACGAGACCCGCCCATTCCCGCCCCGCCACCCTCGCCACCCCTGCCACCACAACGGCGGCGGCCACCGCCGCCCCCACCGTTTCGCCACCGCCGCCGCCCGCCGCCCTGCACCCGCCCGCCCGCCCCGCCCGCGCAGGCTGGTGGCGGCGGAGGTTGCCCCTCCAAGCACCGGAGGGCAGGGCGAGGACGAGGCGGAGGTGGAGGCGTGCATCGAGGACGGCGACGACACCACAGAGGAGGAGGAGGTGGCGGAGGAGGAGGCGGAGGAGGAGGCGGCGGCGGACGAGGACGAAGACGAGGACGAGGACGAGGACGAAGAGGTGCAGACCCCCCCGCCGGGGCTGTCTGCCGCCTCCACCTCCGAGTCAGCCACCGAGGCGGCGGCGGCGGCGGCGGCGGCGGCCGAGGAGGAGGAGGAGCCTTCGGCCGCCGAGGAGGAGGCTGCTCGATCCGCCCCAAAGCGACAGCGGCGCTCGACGCCGGTAGAGGCCGCCACTAGCGGCGCGGAGAGGGCAGCCTCGTCGGCTGGGGCGGCGGCGGCAGCGACGCCGGCAGCGGCGCCGGCAGCGGCGCCGGCAGCGGCGCCGGCGCCGGCAGAAGCGGCGGCGCCGGCAGCGGCGCCAGCAACAGTAGTGTTGCCGGCGAACGGGAAATTTTCCCTGTGGGCGCGGCGCACCGGCGATGCGGTCGGTATGCACTTCAACCTGAATATGAGGACCAAGTTCAGAAAGCTGAAGCAGCAGTACTGCATGCACAAGAAGCTGAGGGAGGAGGACTGCCGTTTCTCCTTTCGCGCTGTTCCCATTGAGGGGGAGCACACGCCAGCGGTCCTCGGGATGGTCCCGGTGCGGCGTGGGGAGGCTGGGGAGTGGTGGTGGGAGGTCAGCGAGCCCGTTCTGGTGGAGGTGGACGAGTGATTTTCACTAGATCGGATAGCGCGAAGGTGACAAGCGGGTCAACTCGAGCGAGCGCGGATCGAGGGCTCTCGAGCCGCGGCTTTTTGTCGAGAGAAGACTCCAGCAAAAACACCCAAAAACGCGCGCGCGACGACAGCCCGAAAGGAGCGGAACGAAGAGTATGGGAGGTTGAAGTTGTGCACCACGCTGCCCGGCGTTTCTCACTTTCCGGGACAGCCGCCGCCCTTGTGAGGCAGGAAAGTGGCGGCTACACCCGAGCATTGTAATTCTTTTTTCGCAAGCCGTCGCCCGCGCCTCGCCTGTCGCGCGTGACCGTGAGGAATCGTGTCGTGCGACCGCCTTTTGTTGTAAAATTATTTTTTCGGACACCGGGATGACTACCATTCCGACGACGCCTCTGTGTACTGTGAGGAGGATGACGGCATCTGTGAGGGCGACGGCTTAGAAGCCGTCGCCTTTGCAGTGCCAGTCCCGTACGCGTACCCGGTGTCGTGCGAGGGAGTTTTCTGGCAAAATTCTTTTTTCGCGCACGACACCGGTGTCGTGCGAGGGAGTTTTGTTATAGCACTTACCGTTCGACACACAGACACAAACAAGCTCACAAGACACACAGCCAGCTGGCTGCCACACACCCTGAGTTTGCGAACGGTAAGTGCGTCTGATTCTTACCAAATCAGTAACCAATCGCAACCAAATTCTTTTGGCACAGCAAATTCTTTTTTCGCGATGTCCCCTTTGCCGCGCCGCCGCTCGCGCCGCCTCGCCCCCGCCGCCACCGCCGCTCCCTCGCCAGACGCGCCGCCGCCCGCCCGCCTCCTCGACCTCCCCAGGGAGCTCCTCGAGCGCATCCTCTCTCGCTGCGACAGCCCCATCGACATCGCTCGCGTCGCGGCCGTCTCGCTGCTCTTCCACGCCTCGCTTGCGGTGGAGGGCATCCGCTTGTGGGCGCAAGAGCGCGGCTTCGAGCTGCCGGCGCAGCCAGAGGGCGAGAGCTGCGCCGTGCGGTGGGTGTGCTATTCTGCGCTGCTCCGCGAGTCCAACCCGCCGGCGAGGGCCGCGGGAGGCGATCGGCACAGCGTCTTCATCGATGGCGAGGGGCGGCTCTCGTCGTGCAGCTCTACGCCGTCCTACCAACCAGGCCTTCTCGGTCACGGCGAGGGCGTGACGGAGCTCAACACGCCGACCCGCCTCTCCTCTTCGCTGGGCGACGAGCGTGCCGTGAGTGTGTCGGCTGGCGTTGCGCACAGCTTCGCCATCACCGCCGACGGAGCTCTCTGGAGCTGGGGCTATGGAGCCGGTGGCCGGTTGGGCCACGGCGACGATCAGGCCCAGCTGCTGCCGAAGAAGATCGAGGCTTTTGCTGACGAGCGCGTCGTCGCTGTGTCGGCTGCGGGCAGCCACAGCCTCGCCCTCACCGCCGACGGAGTTGTCTGGAGCTGGGGCTATGGAGCCGTTGGCCGGCTGGGCCACGGCGACACGCAGGACCAGCTGCTGCCCAAGAAGGTCGAGGCCTTTGCTGATCAGCGCGTCGTTGCTGTGTCGGCTGGAGGCAGTCACAGCTTCGCCATCACCGCCGACGGCGCCGTCTGGAGCTGGGGCTGTGGAGGCTTTGGCCGGTTGGGCCACGGCGACACGCAGGACCAGCTGCTGCCCAAGAAGGTCGAGGCCTTTGCTGGCCAGCGCGTCGTCGCCGTGTCGGCTGCAGCATTCCACAGCCTCGCCGTCACCGCCGACGGCGCCGTCTGGAGCTGGGGCTGTGGAGGCTGGGGCAAGCTGGGCCACGGCGACGCGCAGCGCCAGCTGCTGCCGAAGAAGGTCGATGCCTTTGCAGGGCGGCGCGTTGTCACCGTGTCGGCGGGATCTTTGCACAGCCTCGCCATCACCGCCGACGGCGCTGTGTGGAGCTGGGGCGAGGGAGGCTCTGGCCAGCTGGGCCACGGCGACCAGCAGCTGCAGTTGCTGCCGAAGAAGATCGAGGCCTTGGCTGGGCAGCGCGTCGCCGCCGTGACGGCGGGAGGCTTCCACAGCCTCGCCCTCACCGCCGACGGCGCTGTCTTTACCTGGGGCAGGGGCGAATGCGGCTGCCTAGGCCACGGAGAGGACCTGTCAAACCAGCTGCTGCCCAAGAAGGTCGAGGTGTGGGCGCGCGGTGTCTGAGCACCAGGGACCAGCTCCAGGTCTCCAGTGTCGCGACTCGCGTGAGGAAAGTGCGAGGCGCTTGCCTCAGCCACCAAGGGGCTTTGTGTGTGTAGAGAAGTTTGCCTAAGCTTAGCTTACCTTACCTTAAACGCTCAGCCCCCGCACACCTCCCGTACAGCGGTACACGTGTCCGCGAGCGCGGATCTCCTGAGTCCTGTGCTGTCATAGCGGGTGGGGAGGCCCTAAAACGGCGGGAGGGGTAGGGCTATATCGATAGAGCTAGACCTAGAGGGCTCAACCACCCCTCCACCCCTCCACCCTCCACCCCTCCACCCTCCCGGAGCGAGAGAGGTCCGTCTTCGAGCCCTCCCACTTCCACCCCTCCGAGGCTCCGACCGGAGGGCTCGCCAGCCCACAGGGCTGGAGGGGTCCCCGTCGGATCGGCGTCGGTCGGGAGGGCTCCACAGGGCTAACCCCCTCCCCGGACGCCGGGTGGTCTCGGAGGGACGGTCGGACAGGGGAGGATCTTCATGGCGGGAGAGGGCTCGAGAGGGGTCGGAAGGGCCCTCCGGGAGGGCTCGCAAAAAGATAAAGAAAACGAAGTCGCGGCTTATGTGACTGCCCCCCAAGAGGGCTCGCGGATAGACATGCCCATGCACATCACATGCACATGCACATGCGCTTGTACATGTACATGTGCATGCAGCCTTCACCTAGATCTACCTGACTGAGTCGGTCGTGGAAGCATGTCGCAACACTCCGCCTTCGCTCCGAACTGCCGCTCGCCGTCATCGCCGCCTCAGGATGAGGTGTGTCCCTTCTCTGGCTCTCTCTCCCTCTCTCACTGCCTCTCACGCAGCGTGGGCACGTTGACTGTAGGCGTTCCACCTCAAATGCTTCAAGTGCTTCCAATAGTGCTCTTCAACGTGTACGCGGGTCGTTGGGCGCTTGCTGGCGAGGGCGCAAGCCGTGAAATGGTACACGGGCATGTCCATGTGTAGCCCATGTGTGCGGTGTCGGCCCGTGACAGTTTGAAACAGACGGCCCAGTGCCGTGCGGCCCCAGAATTTTTTTGTAAGGTGCCTATATGGGCTTCCAGTATCGGACCTTCAAGACATGCGCTTTTGGCCGGTGGCCTCCTCGGACATGGTACCTCCGGTGAGATGAGTGGCTGCCAGTTCGAGACTGGGGCCGATCGAACTTGAGTTGTTCGGAGGAGGAATCCGGCCAGCACGGGTACAAAGAGGGGTAACCGGAGAATCCCCAGCTGCGGAAACGTAGTGTCGCTCAAGAGGTGCGATACTGCGGGGGAGTGTGTAAGGTGCCTATATGGGCTTCCAGTATCGGACCTTCAAGACATGCGCTTTTGGCAGGTGAAGATCTTTTTATCTCTGCTTCGCGCCATCGTCGAACGATGCTCGCAGAGTTACGAGAGGTGATGCGGGAGCGGGATGAGGCCATCGAAGCGAATAGGTCGTGCGGCAGGAACAGAGCTGGGCGGCAGGCAGACGGACAGAGACTGGTGGAGCCGAGGCACGGAGTCCCTCTGGTGCGGAGCAGCCAATCCGCTGCGAAGAGACGCGACGCTGCCCTGGGCAGCAATGCCGGCAGGGGCGTCAAGGTGTGCGGCACGCCCGGGTGCAGCCTGCGCGACTGGCACCACGGGCCGTGCGAGCCGCTGCGCGATCTGTGCGGGCAACGCAGCCGGGCGCCTTCGCGCAAGGCAAGGTGCGCCTTCGTGCAGCTGGATGGTGAGGAGGACGAGCCGCAGGCGGGCAGCCGAGAGAAGCCGCGGGCGGGCAGCCGAGAGAAGCGGAGGCGCCCCAGTTCAGGCGGCCGCTCGGGTGAGGCAGAGGCGGCGACGCCCCACGAGGGCGAGGAGGGGCCCGCGGGCGAGGAGCCGCTGTGGGTGCAGTGCGACCGGTGCGCCAAGTGGCGGCTTCTGCTCCGCGGCGAGACCGTCGAGGAGGGGGGCGCCGCTTGGTTTTGTGCGATGAACGCCGACGAGCGCGCGAACAGCTGCGACGCGCCGCAGGTTTGAGACAAGAGTCCTCGCGCGGGGGCACGCACGCGCAGCACACACTAGGGCGAGGGGACCACAGCATACCCCACACGCCGCGGGGTCGGCAAGAACATGGCCAGACGCCGAAGGACTACGGCTGGCACCCGCCCGCTTTAGGTGTCCGCTTGCCAGGACGTCTGCGCCGCCATCTCGCGCGACATGTACTACGTCGAAGAGATTGTCGACCAGCGCGCCTCGAAGAGGCGGGCAGGCGGGTGGGAGTTCCGCGTCCGCTGGCTCGGCTGGGCGCCGGAGCACGACACGTGGGAGCCCGAGGCCGAGCGCCGTCCAGATGCTGCACACACACGATCACGGAGCGATCTGCGGGCCTGTGTACCGACGCCGTTCAGCCGGGGCGCACACCTCGGACTGCCGCTGGGCCAGCTCTTCCACCAGGGTCGTCGTCGTGCGCCCTGCTCCTCTTCGACCGCCCCCGCTGTGTGACCCCGCGAGACGACTCCTTGCTTGTGCCCACCAGCATCGGACACGTCCGTGGCTCGTCCAGGACACGTCCGCGACACGTCCACAGGCCAACATCGCCGACCGCTCGCTCATCGTCGACTTCCACCAGCGGCGGGTGACGTCGACGACGGACATCATGGCGGCGACGTGGGCGTTTGTCGCAGAGTGCCCAAGCATCGGCGGGCGCGGCCTCTTTGCGCGGGCGCCGCTGGTGGCCGGCCAGGCGCGCTGTACAATTATTCATCGGGCGAGGGACTTCAGCACACTCCACGCGGCGGGGCTAGCACGCGATCAGGGAGTGCGGCGGCGTGGCCCGTCCAAGACCCGTCCAAGACACGTCCACGACGCGTGTTTGACGCGTCCATAAGGCGATCTGTGAGTACGGCGGGCCGCGGCTGCCGCTGCCGCTGCAGACGCGCGACGGCAAGTACGTGCTGCAGCTGCCTCGGACGCGCGTGTTCGTCGACGGCAGCACAGATAGATTGAGATGCGACGCAACCAGTCAGGCCACGACTCGAGACGCGCGTTCAGCGTACACACTGGAGCGACGCGTCGGACACACAGCCACGGGCACTCGCTACCCTTCCCAGGCAACTGCGACAACGTGCCGGGCGAGTACAGCCTGCCGCGGCACGCGGCGATCTTCGCCAACCACTCGGCGACGCCGAACGCTCGGGGCACTGGCCAGCACCTGGAACCTTCTCGCAGCCTTGTCGGAGCCTTCCCCTAGGCGACGCCGAACGCTCGGCTGGAGTGCTGGCCAGTACGCGCCGCCTAGATGCGGAGTAGACAGGACCTTCTTTCTCTCTCTCTCTCTCGGTCTCTCTCTCTCTCTCTCTCTCTCTCTCTCTCTCTCTCTCTCTCTCTCTCTCTCTCTCTCTCTCTCTCTCTCTCTCGTCTGACACGTCCATGACACGTCCATGACACGTGCATCACGCAGGACCTTCTCGCGACCGGCGCGCGAGAGTACGAGCTGAGCGGCTCAATGTCGTAGATGCTGAACCAAGACCCCGCGCCTTCCGCCAGCCCGTACCCGCGTGAATCTGGGGATGTGGCTGTGCGAGGGCTGTGAGAAGGCTGCGATAGGATTGTGTTCGATCACGCACGCCCCCTTTCAACGTAGGCTCGATGTGGCTCGTGGCGAGCGAGCCCATCGCCGCGGGGCAGGAGAGGCCACTTCCGAGACACCTCCGAGACACCTCCGAGACACGTCCCTCCTGGCCGCCCTCCCCTCCCCACGTTCTCGACCGACATGTCCACGACACGCCCACGACACGCCCACGACACGCCCACGACACGCCCACGACACGCCCACGACACGCCCACGACACGCCCACGACACGCCCATGACGCGCCCACGACACGTCCACGACACGTCCACGGCAGGAGATCCGCTTCGACTACGAGGCGGGGTCGCAGGACAGAGAGTACTGGCAGCCGGACGCCGTCCGCCCCCTGGAGGGCGATTGGCGAGGCGCTCTAAGGCCAGAGACCCTACCCCCACCGGCACTCGAGAGGGCATGCACTAAGCTATAGTCAGCTGACCCCTGTCCATGGCGTTCTATGCCGATCTCCAGTCGGGTATCCGCCCGTCGCCCACAACGACAAGAACACACACGCTGAGACGATAGTTGACAGATCAATACCTCAGCGGCAGCCGCGTGTGCTCACGACGCAGGCTCTCGCATGCCCCGGGTGGGCCCCCCCGTCCCCGCCGACGCGGCGCCGGCGCTCGACGTGCTCGATGCGATCCGACGGGCGCGGCGGACGCGGGCGAGCGGGACGACCTCCATGAGCCCTCTCGGAGCCTTCTCGGAACCGTCGCGTAGGCGGCGGACGTCTCGCGCGTCCAGCGCCGGTACTTTGTGGCGCCGCCCGCTCTGACGCGGGCAGTCTCGCGCGTGCACCTCGCGCCGGTGACGCGGCTGCCGGCAGCGCAGGCCGACCGACGCCTCCGCGAGCTCGCGCCGCTGCTGGCGCGGTCCGACAACAAGAAGACGTGGGGCTTGCTCGCCAGCCATCTGCCGGGCTGGACAGGGAGCGAGTGCCACATGCGCTGGATCGCAATGGGCAAGAGCAAAGCGGAGAGGCCGCGCTTGCAGGACGACCAGCCGCCGGCGGCGGACGCTGGCAGCCGGCGGCAGGACAAAATGTGCGGCACCATCCTGCGCACCATGCAATGATGTCTGGCGAGGTGAGGTGAGAAAGCACATGGCGGCACAGTAGCCCGAGGACGGGAGGGGGGCGGGCCTCACCCGGGGCTCACCGGGGCCCGGCCGTCCCCGCCCCCTCCCTCTGAGCTCGCCAGCGCAAGCCCTATGTGTCCTCATAGCCCACAGCCAGGAGCCACCACCTACCGTTCGGCTTCACTCCGGCAAGTCGGAAGCTCCGGTTTGGGTCGGTTTGCCGATTAAATCATTAGGGCGATTAGGCCGATTTAGGGACATGTGTGCCGGGCGCGGTTTTGCTTTCATGCTTTTATTTTTATATGTACTCCCGATCAAATCCCGAGACCCTCGGGTCCCCCGCCCCCCCCTCGCTGCGATAGCGCCGCAACCGCTTCTGCAGCTCGCTCTCGCCGCCGCCGCCGCCGCCGCCCTCCGCCGCGCCCCTAAGGCGGAGGTTCCTCAGCCGGCTCAGGTTGCGCTGCTTCGCCGCGTTATCGTCGCCCCCCTCCTGGATCTCGACGGGGGAGAGCGACTTGACGTGCCTGCACGCGAGCCTGGAGCACGAGTAGTTTTCGCCGACGAGGTACCCGCAGTCGGCCTGCCCCAGCTGCGTGTTTTGCATCTCGTGCGCCGCGAGCAGCCGCACGCTGCCCCGGTGGCTGGGATGGTCCGCGAGGAAGGCGAAGACCGCCCTTTCGAGGGCGCCGTTGCCCGTGTGCGTGGCCACCGACACCAGCTCGCCGCCCTGCGGCGGCAGCTTCCGGTCGTAGATCTGGTCGAGGTAGTACAGCCACAGCGGGTGCCGGGCGGCGCCGCCCATCAGATTGTTGCCCGACGCCATGGCGGGCGGCGAGGCGCACCCCGGCGCGCACGCGCGCTGGTCGTGCAGCTTCAAGCACTTTAGGCCCTTTTGGTGCGAGTTCGCCGCTTTCCAGGGCGCCCGGAGGAGGAGGGCGGTGGTCGGCCGGTCCGCGAGCAGCGGGTCGAAGGGCCGCGCGCACTCGACATCCACGTCGAGGTAGATGCCTCCGTACACGTGGAGGATGAGCGGGCGGATGGCGTCGAAGCGCTTCATCTTGGGCGTGAGATCCCTCCACGCGCGCAGCCGGTCGGGCATCGCGCTCCTCATCAGCCGCTCGCAGTCCTCGTCGGTCCACACGCGCAGCTCCCAGCCCGGGTTGAGCTGGCGCAGCCGGCCGACGTGGCGTAACGCCTCCTCGGTCTCGGCGGCGTGGCCCGCAAACATAAAGTCGCGCGTCGGCCAGAGGAGGTGCAGCACGCGAGGGAAGGGTCCTCGGCACGGCGTCGCAGGCGTGCACTCGTGCGTGGCCGACCACGGGAGGGGACATCTCCTGGCGGGCCCGGCCGCCTTCTTCCGGCCAGCCGCCGTCTCCGCCGTGCTGGCTGCGCACCGCGCCGCCCAAGCCTTGAGCGAAGGGAGGGACGCCAGAACGCTCTGCTGGCGCTGCTCGTCCGAGCGCCCTAGCTGGTCCAGCACGTACGCGCTCTCGGCGGCGTTAAGCTCGCTTCCGTGCGAGGCCGACGTCATCAGCTTGATCCACTTTGGCGTTGCGGCGCTGGAGATGGCGGTGGCGACGAGCGCGTCGCGCACGCTCGCCCTCGACAGCTGCATAAGGCAGGCGAGGCCGGCGGCGTCGAGCGGCGGCGCAGAGAAGTTGGCGACGGCAATGCGCACCGGCGTGGCTGGCGCGCGAGACATGCGCAGCAGCAGCGCGAGCTCGTTCTCCAGAATCGCACGCTGGTCGCGCATCAAGCGCGTCATGCCGGCGATGTTGTCGAAGGCCTTCAGGGCGCCTCGTCTCATGTGGCGGTGCTTGGTGAAGGATATTACAGACTCGATCGGAGATCGCTCGAGCACGAGGAAGGCGGGCTCGAGACCGATGCCGGGCGCGAGGGCGGCCGACGCCATCTGCACGGCGCGTGCGAGGGCGACTAATTTGGGCCAGCGGCCGGGGCCGTATCGCTCGTCCAGACTCTTCTTGCCACCGCAGTGAAAGGAGCACGTCCACACGCCCAGCCCGGTGGCGGACGGACTCGAGCGCACAGTCTCTGCCAGCGCGACGGCCAACTGGCGAACAAGGGCAGCCTCTGGCTCGAGCGAGTTCGGCTCCGGCGTGGTGATGCGCTCGACCAGGTCGCTGAGGTCCTTCATCGCGGCCGAGCTGTTGGGCCTGCATGCGAGGCGTTGGTCGCAGGCCACCTCGTTGAGAGCCAGCGCGGCCAGCTGAGCCCAAAAGGCGTAGTACCAGTGGTGGCCCGTGCCCTCGAGACCGACGACGAACGAGACCACCAGCCGCCGCGCAGGCGCACTCACGGGCCCGGGCGCCGGCTTGGAAGCGGTCGCTGCAAGCGCCCCAAGCGCGAGGGCGCCCAGTGCGCCCGCGAGGCCCGCCTGGGGCATGTTTGTGGAGGACGCGCAAATGACCAAAAACCAAGATTGTGTAACGCGAGCTGTGCCACTGTGAAATGGAACTACTCTTAATACTGAGGTGCATATTATCTTAAAACTCACCACACAGATCTACTCTTAATACTGAGGTGCATATTACGGCTATCTTAAAACTCACCACACAGATCTACTCTTAATACTGAGGTGCATATTATCTTAAAACTCACCACACAGATCTATCTGTACTCTTAATACTGAGGTGCATATTACGGCTATCTTAAAAACTCACCACACAGATCTACTCTTAATACTGAGGTGCATATTATCTTAAAACTCACCACACAGATCTACTCTTACTTAATACTGAGGTGCATATTATCTTAAAACTCACCAACCACACAGATCTGCCGGGTCACTACTCATACATGTGCATGTAATGTCCTGCACAGCTACGTAAACACACGGAGGTCACACACGCATGGTCGAGTGCAAGAGAGGGTTGCCCCGCGGGCAATGGAAAGTGCTCCGCCCTCTCGCCTCGCAGGCTCGCTTGTACAGCCTCCCGCTCGCCCGCAGCACGTCGTCAAAGCCGTGACGGTCAAAGAGCGCGAACGACTCACGCTTATCCGGGCTAGGGCGGCCGGTGACGCGGCTGCTCTTGCCCTCGGTGCGGCGTTGCGGCCGCCTCGGCCAGCGCTCGCCGTCTTGGTCACCGCTCACCTGTGAAGGAGGGAAGGGCGGTCGAGCGAGTGGGTGAACGGGGGCTAGGTGTGGCGCGCCGGAGGAATCCCGACGCGAGGATCAACCACCATCAGTGCTACGAACGTGGCACGACTGTGCGGTGTGGGCGCGCCTGCGCCATCGCCTCGGCCAGCTCCGTCTCGAGCAGCTCCACGAGGTCGCCAAAGAGCTCCGCTGGGAAGATGGCCGCCTTGTGCGTCTGCAGCTGCTCCCACAGCGCGTCGCAATTCATGCCCGCGCCGCCGCCCCGCTCCGCCGCGCCGTCGGCCCGCTGCAGCTTGGAGACAAAGGCGAGGCCGTAGAGGCCGAGCACGACGTCAACAAGCAGCTCCTTGTCCTCGCCCTTTGTGAACTCACCGAGGAAGACCTGAGCAGCAGAGCGGGTGGCGGTGGAGGGGGCGGCGGCAGAGGCGGCGGCGAGGGCGGCCCGGCGGCGTGGCAGGTGAGGGCAAGGCCTTGATGCTCGTCTCAATCCAGGAGGAGACGTTGTCGATGCGCTGCAGCCCGCCCGAGGCGTCGCCCCAAAAGTAGATAGAGTCGGTGCCGTTGGCGAGCATGAAGGCCCACTGCTCGAGACGGCACCAGCCGCGGCTCAGGTATGTGTCGCGGCTGCAGAGGAGGCCCGTGTCGAGGTGGAGCGTCTCGGGCGCGCACGCGACAAAGTGGGACGTGGTTGCGGCGAAGATCGCGATCGCCCCGATCGCCAGCGCCTTGGTCGCCTCGTTGCTCGGCGGGTCTCCCTCCTGCTGGGGTGGGGGGGGGGGGGGGTGCGGCGTCGGCGGTGGGTGTGGCCACGGGAGGGCGAGGGTTGACCGGGCGGCGGCGGCAGGTGGCCCAGAGGGCAAGGGGTGCGTTCGAGCGCGCACTCGAGTGCAGGTCGAGCCAGATGTGGCACTGGTCCGGCGAGAAGCCCCGCTCGGCGGCGAGCGCCTCCACCGCGCGCACCATGTGCTCAAAGTGGGCGTTGTCCGGGTCGGGGGAGGCATACGACAGCCACTGGTGCGAGAGGAACACGAGCGGGTGGCTGGCGGCGAAGCTCGCCGCACTGTCCCACGTGTCGCAAAAGACAAGGGCCGACTCGCTGCGCGCCTGGGGCGGCGGAGGAGAGGGAGGCGCGGTGATGAGGCGAGGGTGCAGGAGAGGGAGGAGGCGGGGGTGGGGGGAGAGTGAAGGGGGGTTCGCTGCCGCGCCTCCTCAAAGGGCACCAGCCGCCCAAAGGCGGCGAAGCTGCGGAACGGCATGACGCAGAACGGGAAGCGCAGCGACGAGGCATCGTTGATCGCCGCGCGCACGCGCCGCAACTGCGCGCGCCGCTCGCGCGCCGCCGCCGCGAGCGCGAGTCGCCGGTGGTGCACCGAGCGCCGAGCGCAGACGCAGAGGCCAAGGAGGAGGAGGAGGCCGACCGAGCAGGCGGCGCAGAGGATGAGCAGCAGGGTCAGATGCGGCACGCAAGTTGCGCCGCGTGCCTCGAAGCCAACCGGGCAGCCGCAGCCCCGGTCGGCCGTGCCGACGAGGCCCTCCGGGCACACAGCGCGCACGGCAAGGGTGGCGCAATGCGTTGTGCTTAGCGCGTCGGGCGACCGCCCCTTCTGGAGGCTGTCGGGCTCGCAGCCGCAGGGGTCGTCGTCAAGGTATAAGTGGAGGGTGAAGTCGCCGGTGCGAGAGGGGGCCACCCCCGCCGCGTAGATGCCCCGCTCCTTGTACTCGAACGGGACGTCGTGCGCGTCGCCCGCATCTCCGTCCCACATCACCACGCGGAAGCGGCGCGGCGAGTAGGCGGTCGACCTTGAGGCGGAAGGGAGGGGGGGGGGGACACATTTGAGGCACCGGAAGCGGCGAAGCCGTGGCGGGGGAGGCGGCGAGAGCAGCGATGGAGGTGCGGGGGAGGGCAAGGGGGGAGAGGGTGCGGGCGCGACGCGCCTTTCTGTGCGGAGCGAGGGCACCGGATGCGCCACCTGAGCAGCAGCGAGCGCTGCGGTGGAGAGCGCGGAGGCAGAGGCGGCGGCGAGGGCGGCGCGGCGGGCGAGGGCGAGTGCAAGTGCGAGTGCGAGTGCGAGAGTGGCGAAAGCGGTGCGGCGAGCGAGAGCGGCGGCAGCAAGAACGCCAGGCGGGAGGGGCGGCAACGGCGGAGGGGAGGAGAGGGGCGGCGAGGTTGTGAGCCGGCACCTCGATCGCCTCAAAGTCGCAGCTGGTGAACTCCGTCGCGACCGTCTCGCCGACGGCGACCACGAGCGGCCCTCCCTCCGCCTACAGGGCACGGCAGAGCACATGTGCATGTGACATGTGCATGTTCATGTCAGCGAGGCGCGCCGAGTGCGCCCACGCGCGGGCCCTCGCTTTGCCCTGCGCGGGGGCGGGACGCAGATCTCGCGGTGATCTTGCGGTGATGGTGATCTCGGTCGATGCATATCTCGGTTGATCCAGCAGGGGTGCTCTCGGGCGATCTCGGGCGATCTCGCCTCGCGCGGGACGCAGCGGCCGTCCGGCTGTGGCAGGCCCCACATCGAGGTCGCGGCGCTCGCCGTGGTGGCGATGATCGTGTAGATCGGCAGCAGGACGGTGTCGCGGACGCGGCCGCCGACGTCGACCGTCACGTTGAGCGTGGTCAGCAGCGGCTCGAGCTCCTCACGCATGCCGGCCGAGTCGGCGCTCACGTTGAGAAAGTTGGCGTGCCGGTCAGTCGCGCCGAGCGTGCCGGTCAGTGGAGCCACACGCAGGTAGCTGGGCACAGATGCGGGGTCGACGCTCCACCTTGGGCACCGCGGGTGGGGGGGGGAGAATGGCGCCACGGGGGGACGGGGCCGGGGGGAGGTGAACGACGCGGCGTTGAGCGGTGAGGGAAGCGGCGGTAAGCGGTGCCGTGAGTGAGAGTGGCGGTGGAGTGAAGCGCGCGCGTGGTAGGGGGGGAGGGTGTGGGGGGGGGGGGGTCTCGGTGGGTGCCGCACCGCAGCGTCGCCTCCTGTGTGCCTCCGACGTGGAGGAGCAGCGAGCGGGTGGCCCGCTCGTTCTCGGACGTCTTGGTGAGCTCCATCACGATGTGGGGCACGCCGGTCCCCGCGCGGTCGAGGACGGTGACGTCCGACGCGAAGCGCGGCGTCAGGCAGCCAAACTCGGGCAGAACGGCTGCCAGCCCACGGTCCGGCGCGCCCGAGGCGGGCACGTTTGGCGGCTCGCAGCTGCACGAGGGGGCCGTGAGCCCGCCCCCGCCCACGACCGCCTCATCGGAGCAGATAGCCAGCGGGGCGCACACGGCCGGGTCGGCGTCGCAGCGCGCCGGCCTCTGCCCACGCAGGACGAGGGCCTCGACCTTGAGGGCGGTGGGGAGGGCGGGGCGGAGGGCGGTGGGGATGGTGAGGCGGAGGGCGGTGGGGAGGGCGAAGCGGAGAGCGGTGGGGAAGGTGGTGGAGAGAGCGGGGGGGAGGGAGGCGGCGGCAGGGGCGAGGCTGACCTGCGCGGCGCTCCTCCGCACCTCGCACGCAGGCGTCACCCACGCGCGCAGCGCAAAGAGCCGGACAGCGGGCGGCGCGGGCTGCGTGGCCGGGCGCGAGATTGGGCCAATTACGCCGTGGTAGTCGGCAAAGGCGGCGGCCTCGGGCGAGAGCGACGGGGGTGCGTCGGCTCCCTCCTCCCGCCCGCCGTCCATGTCGATCGCGGGGTTGCGTGTCGCGCCACAAGCGAGCTCCACGTCCATCCCCACCGCCAGCAGCTCTCCGCCTGAGTGAACGTACACTGCCGCGGCGCCTACAGCCTCGAGCGGTCTCCTTCCATCTCGGGCGCTCTCGCCGGCCGAAGCCGCGCCCCCGCCGCGTCGCCGTCATCGGTGACGGACGTGATCGAGTTGTTCTCAAAGAGGGAGTGGAAGACCTCGAGCCTCGCGCCGGCGTCCACGCTCGCCACGGCGAAGAAGGTCTTTGGCGCGCTGAGGTCGTACACGCGGTTGTCGGCCACGCGGGAGCGCAGCAAGCGGGCCACGCCGCCGTGGCGGATCCACAGCACGCCCCCCCTCCGCGAGTCCTCTGAGGAGCCCGACAGGCCCATGTCGTGCCCGTCGCAGTCGGCGAGCTCGGAGCCGTGGCTCAACGTCAGGTTGCCTACAGCGCTCGGCCGATCTCTCCCCTCGGCGGATCTCGGGGCGAGCTCGCTGCCGCGGCTCGGCGTCGGGATGCCCTCGACGTACGCCGTGCCGTACAGGCGCGAGTGGCAGCGCAGGATGGACGAGTTGGCCAGCTCGAGCGCGCCGGCGCGGTCGACAAAGACAGCAGAGCCGCGCCCACGCACCAGGTAGACCTGGCACTCCTGTGGTGCATGGCGGTGGTGGTGCATGACGGTGGTGGCGCATGGCGGTGGTGGTGTACGGCGGTGAGGCAGGCGTGGGAGAGAGGTGTGGGAGGGAGGCGGTGCGTGGCGGTGAGGCGCTCCTGCACGAGCGACGCGGTCAGCACCACCAGCGCCCCTGAGCCGATGTGCATCCCGCCGCCGTCCCGTACGCTCGAGCAGCGCACCACCCGCACCTCCGAGGCGGTGAGCGTGCCGCCGTGGACCGCGAGGCCGCCGCCGTCGCCGTCGCCATCGCCCGAGCGGCCGGCGGCGCACCCCTCGATGTTCGTGCGCAGCAGCCGCGCCGACGCGTGCAGCAGGTACATGCCGCCGCCGTCCTCCTCGGCGCCGCACCCCTGCAGCCGCAGGTCGGATGCGGAAACCATGCCGCTGAAGGCCCACACGCCGCCGCCCGACTCGAGCGCCATGCAGGCGCGTAGCTCGCTGCGGTGCACCTCCACAAACGCGCCGTCGAGGGCGAGCGCGCCGCCGCTGCCCTCCGCCGTGCACTCCTCGACGAACGAATCTGCGAGCACCTTGAGGGCGAGGCAGAGGGTGGTGGGGAGGGCGAGGCGGAGGTGGGGAGGGCAAGGCGGAGGGTGGTGGAAAGGGCGAGGCGGAGGATGGTGGAGAGGGCAAGGCGGAGGGTGGTGGGGAGGGCGAGGCGGAGGGCGGTGGGAGGGCGAGGCAGAGGGTGGCGGCGGCAGGGGCGCGGCGGAGGGTGGCGGCGGCAATGGCGAGGCGGAGGGATGCGGCGGCAGGGGCGAGGCGGAGGGTGGCGGCGGCAATGGCGAGGCGGAGGGATGCGGCGGCAGGGGCGAGGCGGAGGGTGGCGGCGGCAATGGCGAGGCGGAGGGATGCGGCGGCAGGGGCGAGGCGGAGGGTGGCGGCGGCAATGGCGAGGCGGAGGGATGCGGCGGCAGGGGCGAGGCGGAGGGTGGCGGCGGCAATGGCGAGGCGGAGGGATGCGGCGGCAGGGGCGCGGCGGAGGGTGGCGGCGGCAATGGCGAGGCGGAGGGATGCGGCGGCAGGGGCGAGGCGGAGGGTGGCGGCGGCAATGGCGAGGCGGAGGGATGCGGCGGCAGGGGCGAGGCGGAGGGTGGCGGCGGCAATGGCGAGGCGGAGGGATGCGGCGGCAGGGGCGAGGCGGAGGGTGGCGGCGGCAGGGGCGAGGCGGAGGGATGCGGCGGCAGGGGCGAGGCGGAGGGTGGCGGCGGCAATGGCGAGGCGGAGGGATGCGGCGGCAGGGGCGAGGCGGAGGGCGGCAGGGGCTAGGCGGACCATCTGAGCGCCGTCGGCGGCGAAGATCCCTCCGCCGTCGCCGCCGGCGGAGCAGCCTCGCAGCGTCGCGTTACGGACGTCCGCTGCTGCGCCCTCGAGGATGGCGATGCTGAGGGGCGGTGGTGGGAGGAGGGGCGGTGGTAGGTTGTGTCGGAGAGTCGGTGCGTGGCGGTGAGACGAGCGTGGGAGAGAGGCGGTGCATACGGCGGTGAGACAGACGGGGTAAGAGAGAGTGAACGGGAGCGCTGGAGAACCGCACCAGCCGGCCTCGCGAGCTGCGGAGGAGTCGAGGAAGCGGCTGTGCTCGATGAGCAGCGAGCCTCCCCACACAAAGATGGCGCCGCCATCGAGGGCCGACGCGTTGCGCAGCGTGCACCTGCGACCAGGGAGGGCCTCTGCTCATGGCGCTTGCGTATGATACCTCCAGAGGGCATGTCGGCGGGCTACCCCTCGAGCCAGATCGTGCCCCCATGCGATGCGATCGCGCCGCCTTGCGCATCCGTGCCCCCGCCGTCCGCGCCGCCTCGGATATTGAAGTCGGCGAGGGCGTTGCGGGCCATCGTATGCCCGGCGGCAGCCATCCATCCACGCTCCTGGGTAACTGCCGCGCACTCAGAAAAGAGGACGTCGGTGGCGCGCAGCGCGCTATCTGGTCTGACCACCACACAGCCTCCGCCTCCGTCTGTGTCTGAGGCGTTTGCGACGCCGCGGATCACCGAAAGCGAGCGAAGCTCCAGCGAGCCTCCGCCGGCGACGATGAACGCACGCGAGAGCCCAGCCGCGTCAACAACAGTGCCCTCCCGGCCGGAGATTTGCACTCGGAGGCGGCCGTGAATCTCCAGAGGCGAGCCTCCAAGCCGGTAGGTGGCATGCTCGGCGAGCAGGAGTGACAGCGTTGACGTGTTGGCTCGCTGGATGCTGTCGCGGAGCTCGTTGACTGAGAAGATCTCGTATGTGGTCAGCGCCAGGGCTATCACGAACAACATGCGTAAGCGTCCCGTCAGCGTCGAGCTGACGGGATCGAGCACATCTCTAGCTCCTTGTATGAGCCGTCCAGCCAGCCGCCAGCTGAAGCGAGTCTAAAAAGAATTTTACAACAAAACTCCCTCGCACGACACTGGGCACAGGACTGGGCACGGGACTGGCTCGCACTGGCACTAACACAGGTACATTTAAAAGTTTTACAACGGCAAGCCCCTCTAAAAAGAGAAGAAAACTCCATTAAATTGCGCCGTAACGGAGGCCCCTCCCCGAAAGGCAAGTATTAGCCAGGCCGAACTGAGGCGCCCGTGGGGACCCCGCAATTCCCTTCCTCCCTCGGAGGGGGCCGGACGAGGCGTACCCCGAGGGCCCCGCTCTGTCCCTCGCATAGCGGCCACTCTTCGGATCGCTGGTCGAGCGACCCGGGGGATGCCCCGCGCGCCTGACCCAGGCGCGAAAACGAATCTGCGAGGCGTGGCCGCTTATGCGGCCCGATGGGGAGGAACGGGGCGAGCCCCCTCCAACCCACCCGAGCTAGGTCTCGGGTTTGTTTGACGCATGGGGTCACTCCCGCGAAACTCGTGAACTAGCCGGGGCAGTCGGAGAAGGGGCAAATCCGTGCACTGACGGTCGACCGTCAGAAAACACGCCTGCGTGGATCGCGTCACACCAATCCTCGCTACCCAACGCGGCCAACGATATCCCCCTCGAGAACCTCGAGAACCGAACCCAGACCAAAGCTCCCCCTCCGCGCGTCCCTCTTGCCCTGGGACATGCCGTCGCCGAACCAGGGAGTGAAGAAGGGCTCGATGAGCGGGAGTTTTCTCAGCCTGCCCCTCCTCGCCGAGGATAGCTCCTTCAGCGAGCGGCAGACGATGGGGACACAGGGATCGGCAGGGACGGGAGACGACAGCCCCAAGTCGCCCTTTGTGCGGTTTGCGCGAGGCATGCTGCAGCGCTTCACGCCTGCCGAGAGCGCTCCCTTTGTGACGAGCCCGCTGCCGAGCACAATCTCCGCCTCCGAGTCCTTTGTCTCGGGCACCGCCTTTGCCGACCCGGTGGAGGCGCACGGCCTCGCCGAGGGGCGCGAGGCGCAGATCCAACGGTCGCTGTACCTCTCGCTCGACCGCGAGCGGACCGCCGAGATGCGGTGGTACCGGCTCAACCGCAACCGCCTCTGGCGCGGGACGGATGAGCTGCTGGCTCCGCAGGAACCGCCAAAGCTGCCCGTCGAGAAGGACTGGATTGGGGCGATGCCGTGGCCCGACGGCACACGGGCGGACGTCGGCTTCTTCCGCCTCTGCTTTGCCTTTTGCCGCTTCCTCTACAAGACAGGCAACCAGCATGGCGTGAAGCGCTGCCTCCTCTTCAAGGCGGCCCTGGGCGTGCTGCCGGTGGTCTTCTCGACGCTGCTCTCGGTGGCAATCCTGCGCGTGCAGCAGGCCTGCGAGGACGACGCGTCGCCGGACCGCACTGAGCTGGTCGTCCTCTGCCTTGGCATGGTGGCGACCGCCACCGCCAAGACGCGCCTCTACTACCAGTTCCAAGTCGACGTGCTAGATCTCCGGCACACTCGTCGGCTTGTACCCGGGACGTGTCCCCATGCATCCGCGCTTCCCTCAGGTGCCGCTCGCGGGCGTGCGCTTTCACCTGCGCCACGTGCTGCAGCGGAGGCTGCTCAACCTTCACGCGGAGGCGACCCGCTTCGGCATGGACCGCAAGCGCGAGCACAAGAAGGCGGCGGCGCGGCTCACTGGCGGCGCCTGCGCGCAGCTGCAGGACATGATCGTCTTCCACGCCGTCAACCACGTGCGGGGCGCCGTATTTGCGTACCGGCAGTGAGTGTGGATTTCATCACGGTGATTGTGCCGAAGCAGGTGTGGGGCTTCGTCTTTGAGGTGCCACAGGTCGTCTGCACCCTGCTCGCCACTTTCGTCTCTGGCATCCTGACGCGCAAGATCTACGGGCTCATCATCCCGTGCCTGTACGTCGCCTCCACCATTGGCGCGATGGCCTGCGTCTGCCTGGTCTTTGGCTACTACCGCCGCTCCTTGGAGGAGCTGGCGCACCTGAAGGCGATGTGGCACGTCAGGCGTGCGCCGCCGCCGCCGCCGCCGCGCAGGTGGCTCCGACACCAGCGTCCGACGCCTCCTGGTACGCGCAGGTACGGCGGCGTGGCGGGCAACCAGGTCAACAAGATCTACCAGTGGAGCTCAAAGAAGGGCGGGGCGGGCGAGCTGACGGACGAGATCCTCGAGCAGAAGGTGGAGACCTACGGCGGCGTCGCGTACGTCTACCGCAGGCGCGCCTTCCAGCACTTTCTGATGGGGGTGGTGTACGAGAGCAGCGTGGGCGCGGCGCAGTTTCTGGTGTACGGCAGCGCCCTCGTCGCCATGGCGTTGCTCGCCATGAGCCCGAGCCGCCTGGTCACGGGCGAGGTCTTTGCGAGCGGCGCCGCGCTGCTGACCTCCGGCATGTCCACCTCGCACACGCTCGCAAACGACCTCAACATGCTCGTCTTTGGTCACGCCGCCGTGCTGCAGCTGGCGGACGTCTTCAACGAGTCGCCCATCCTCCCGACCTCCATGTCGACGGCGAGGCTCCCGCAGCTGGCGCGGCGACACGGCCATCCAGCTGGGTCCTTTAGCAGCTCCCTCTACTCTCTCGGGCAAGTCCGTGCGGGCCTCCTCCACGGGTCGCAATCCGCTCGCCACAGTGGCGTCTCGATCCATGGCGGGCCGCCAGGGGGAGCAGAGCGGTCGGCGGGAACCGGAACGGCGCCGGCGCTCGCCAGCTTTTCGGGGCTGTAGCGCCGCCAGCCGCCACTATTGTTTTTATTGAACCTGATTTGTGGAGCTCCCTATTGTTTTTATCTTGATGTCATGGCACTGGTCTGCCCTAGCTTCCAAGTTCCACGAACGTCCCAAGCACAGGGGCACAGACTAGGGGTCCAGCCCTGCCCCTGGGGGAGCTGGGTGGATCGGGTTGTGACAAGTGACATTTGGCGATTCCGCGGCTTACTGGACCCTGAGCCGCTCCCCGTGTGCGATTCTTGTGGCCCTAATGGAGCCGCTCTTCTACAATCCGCACCTACCTGGCAGGAGAAGGTGGGTGGGTGGGAGCGGCGGCGATCGACGAGCCAGGATGGGAAAGGCAGGTAGGGAGTGACTTGGAGCACTTGGAGCCGGCCAAGCTTTTTCGTTGTATGTGGCTCTTACGTACATTCCCGTAGGAGGACTCTGCTGACAGGGTTTGCGATCATGAGGAGCGACCCGAAGGGTTCTCGGAGGTGAGTACACCACTAACCGCCGAAGCGCAAGCGCTCGTTGGAGCAAGAGCCGAACTGCGACGGATCGGTCTCATGCTAGCACCCCACCTCGCGGGCCGATCTTCTGGCTGGGGCTGTAGAAGCAGCGCATCTCGGTCGTTCTTCACACGGCAATCGCAGAATTGTGAATGAATGAGGTTGCCTGTCTGTGGCGGGGGGGGGGGGGGCGGGCGGGTGTACCTGTGTTAGTGCCAGTGCGCGCCAGTCCCGTGCCCGGTGTCGTGCGAGGGAGCTTTGTTGTGAAATTCTGGTTTTAGTTCCGTGCCCAGTGTCGTGCAGGGAGTCATTGTACAACTGTAACATTCTGGTTTGGGGGGGTTTCGGCGGGCGTCGACACGTGTATACTCTCAGCTCTCAGTCGGGGCAGGCGTGCTGGCCTGTGCGCCCCTCCCTCCCCGTCCGCTCCCTCCCGCTTGGCGCCCATCCCGCCCTCCGCCCTCGCCCTCCGCCCCTGCCCTGGCTGGCCTGGGTGGCATCTCCTCATCATCACGCGCCAAGCGGGAGGGAAGTGGACGGGGCCCTGAGCCGACCTAGCCCCAGACGGAATGGGGCGCCCAACACGTGCCCGGATTACTGTGCCTTCCCCGGGTGCAGGCAGCCTTTCGGTTCATGAAGGGTCGGTGCGTGTCGTGACCCCCTGGAACACCCGTACTCCCGCACCATCTCCGTTGCTCGGTTGCTTAACCTTGCCACCACCGGCCGGGAGCGGCCAGGGCTTCATAGACTCGGTCGAGAGACCCCAGATCGGCATCCATGCCTTAGTTTCTGGACAGGGTGGCCCGCCACAACGACCCCTGGAATTGCGACTCGCCGCTTTCCTCCCGCTGTGATCGTAGGTAGGTAGGTAGTAAGGTGAAGAACAGCCAAGCTCGGACTGGACACCAACGCGGTATGGGTGGACGCTGGACAGATGATGACGGCACGCACGAGCGACACACAGACACAAACAAGCTCACAAGACACACAGCCAGCTGGCTGCCACACACCCTGAGTCGGCAAACACATAACTCAAGGCCACATCCTCCCTGTCGCCCCCCCCAGCACTCCACGGTGCCAAGGAGTGATCCTGTCGACCCAAGAGACCTCGCGGGGCGTGCCCTCGGCCTATGCTCGGTAAATCAATGTACCCGTCAATCAAGGAGTTCACCGAGCCGACCAGCCAGCTGGCCTCCCGAAATGCTGTCGCTTCTGGTCGCCGCTCCTCCATCGTGGTACTCACCTGCCCGTATTCCACTGTCGACGCACCGCCCGTGGCGGGCGGCAGTCGAGATGAGGCACCTCCTGCTCCGGCCGGACGACCCAGAGGTGCTCACGCTCAGGGACGCGCTGATGGCAAAGAGCGTGGAGGTCCGTGTGTCTCCTCTCGCCACGCCACCACCGCCGTCGCTGCCACCGCCCTCGCCGCCCTCGCCCGTGCCGCCGCCGCCCTCGTCCATGCCACCATCACTTCCCTCGCCGCAAGCCGCCGTCGCCAATGCTGCAGGCCGGCCCTCAATGTCGCCAAAATTCACTCACTCACGCACTCCGCTCCGCCGCCCGGTGCGCAGGCGCAGCTCGAGCGCTTCCAATACATGAACGAGCGCGGGCATGGCATGTGGCTCAGCCAGGCGTGGGAGGCGCACGCCAAGGACGCGCCTCCCGGCGGGGGCGCCGCCTTCCTCGACGCTCTCACGCGGACGGAGTCGATCGAGGCGTATTTTGTGCCCACGATCGCGCGGCGGCAGGGGTCGCCCAACAACCCCTACCTCAACCGCGCCGCCTCGGGCTACCACACCACCATCGATCCCCGCGACCTCGCGCGCCGGCTGATGGCGTGCCGCTCGCAGCTCGCGGGCGAGTGGTGCGAGCAGCTGCGGATCCTGGCGACGGGGGAGCCGCACGAGCGGTTGGCGGAGGAGGCGCTCCTGCTCGGCCTCTCCGCCCGCGCCGCGATGCGCAGCCTGCTCCGCGGCCTCAAGCCGCTGCCCTCGCGGCGCGGCATGCACGCGTTCCTCGAGGCGAGATTACCCGAGATTACCCGAGATTACCCGAGATTGCCCCAGATTACCCGCGCACGCGCTCCTCGAGGCGTTTGCCAAGGAGCACTCGCGCGACCTGTCCCCGGCGGGGGAGCCGGAGGCGGCCTTCGCGGCGCTGGAGGCGCTGCCGCTCGCCATCGCCGGCGAGGCTCTCATCGACCCTCCGCTGCTCTGCGCCGAGCTGCGAAACAAGACGCATGCCGCCAGCGCCGACCTGGCCGGGCTGCTCGGCGGGACCGAGGAGGAGCACACGCGCGTGCACGCGTCATACCTCGAGACTTGCCTCCGCGAGACGATCGACGCGCCCTCATGGGACCGCGAGCTCAAGAAGCGCGACCAGCAGCGCCAGCTCGAGGCGTCGTGGAGGGTGCTGCTGCGGCGCACCGGCCAGCCGCCCCTAGAAGCGGAACACGGGTCCTCTTCTTCCAACCAGCGCTCGAGAGGACACGTATTGCTCCGCTGGACGCGGCGGTACTCCGTGGTATTCACCGTCGTCGTGGCCCCTCGTCTTCACGCGGCGCCCTGAAGACTCTGCGCAATACCTGTTCCCGCCCCGAGGTTTGTGTCTTCAGCACGTAGGCCCGCCGCCTACTGGGCCAGCAGAGGGAGGCGCCGCTCCCGGCCGCCACGCGGACACGCGGCCCATCCTCCCTCCCTCCCCCGACGGGGACGCGGGCCCGCCGCCCGGCTCGTCTCCCGCGCCGTGAGAGCGACGACTGCCCCACCTGAGGGCGCCATTTGGCGCGCGCGTTTCCCCGCCCCCCCCAGAGGGGGAGTCGCGCTGTCTCGCTTCGGCGCCGGCTTGTGCTCCTGGCTTGACCGCCCCCTTCCCCTCCCCCCAACCACTACCCCCCCCCCCCCCTCCCGCCCCCCCGCCCCCCTCTCCTTCCATGCGCATGCCTTGTCCCCGCCTGGCTCGCTGCTGTGCCGTCCTTAGCCGTGCCGGCCGCCGAGCGCATGTACCTGTTGCCACCCCCCCGCTTGCCCTTCCGTGCCGATGATTCGAGTCCGTCCCACTCCTGGTCGGTGCATGATATGCAGCCGTCGCTCGCTCCTCCTCTAGCCCTCGCTTGAGCGTCATCTGTTCGTTTTGCGCCGACACCGCCCCCGCTCTGGGCCTCGCTCTCGAAGTCTCGTCTCTGCCCGCGAGTCGGAGAGCTCGGTGACTCTCTTAGCTCTTACCCCCCTCTGCTCTCGGTCCCTCTGGGGACAGCCTGAGTCCCGCTCTCGCCCCAGTCGCCAGCTGGTCAGTGTATCTCGCCGCACTGCGCACTCTCTGCCGCGGTGTGTACATTTTGTAAAAAACTCTGTAATCTCAGCAGAACCACAGACGAACGCACGCCCACGCGGCTGGCGCTCGAGCGCGCAGTGAACCTGTGAAGCAGAAGCGCCGAGGGGCCACACACCGCACGCAACACTATCTCGCTCTTCAGGCTCAGCTGTGAGGAGAGCCCGGAGAGAGCGAGGCAAGGGGGGCAAATGGAGGCGCGTGCACAATCATGCGGGAAGAGGTATGCTGGGGGGGGGGAGGACGGTGCATCGCCGACAACGGAGGGGGGCGCGGGTGACGCGGTCGGCCGCGCACGCACAAGATCTACAGCCCAGGGGGAGGGGGGGGAGCACGGAGGGAGAGTGGCGGGGCTGCCGGATGGGCGACCCCGCCCCACACGGCTGCGGGAGAGGGGGGGAGGGGGGCA